AACAGCAGCAGCAACAACAACAACGACCCACTAGTGGTTTTGGAGTTGTAGTAACACCTGTGCCCATAGATCAAACAGCACCTTCGGATGAATTTAGCTCAATTAGTGGCAGAGCCCAGTGTAATTGTGTACCCTATCATCTGTGTGATCCAAATACTCAAACTTCCACGCCAGTGGATGATGGAGCTTTTGATGGTTTCGGTTTGATTGATATTCGTTTCAATAGGGATTCTGATGATAATGCTCCTTCCTGTGAACATTTCTTGGATGTATGCTGTGATGGTGGTAATACACGTAATATGAGTTTAACACCTACTCCCCAGGAGAATAGACCAAATCGTCCTAAGGGCTGTGGTGTACGCAATGTGGGTGGTATTGATTTCAATATAACTGGTGCCAATGATAATGAAGCCGGTTTTGGTGAATTCCCTTGGACTGTGGCTTTATTGCATTCCATAAATGCCAGTTATTTCTGTGCCGGTTCTTTGATTCATCCTAGAGTTGTTTTGACTGCTGTTCATTGTGTTATAGATCGTCCTTTGAATAGTTTTGTTATTCGTGCCGGTGAATGGGATACACAAACTATCAAGGAACGTTTGCCTTTTGAGGAAAGAGGCGTAGCCCGTGTCGTTACACATCCTCAATATAATTACCGTAATGTGGCTAATGATTTCGCTTTGGTTATTTTGAATTCGCCTTTCACTTTAGGTGATCACATAAATGTGGTTTGCTTGCCACCAGCTAATAGCTCTCCAGCTCCTCGCACTACTTGCTACTCGACTGGCTGGGGTAAGGATGTGTTTGGTGCTGCTGGTCGTTATAGCGCCATTATGAAACGTGTTCCTTTGCCCATTGTCGATTACTCAACCTGCCAGGCCCAGTTCCGCAGTACACGTTTAGGACCCAGATTTGCTTTGGATCGTTCTTTCATTTGTGCTGGCGGCCAACGTGGTATTGATACTTGTCAAGGTGATGGGGGTGCTCCTCTTGTTTGCCCTATTGGCTTGGAGTCTAGTCAACGTTATCAACAGAATGGCATTGTTGCTTGGGGCATCGGTTGTAATGATGAAATACCTGCCGCTTATGCTCATGTTGCTTCCGCGCGCAATTGGATCGATGATCAGATGTATGCTAATGGTTTTGATACTACTTCGTACTCTCCAATTTAAATTTAAATAAAAATAACTTTAAAGCAATAAATACTTAATAAATTATATTAAATATTTAATTATAACGAATGTAAGATTTTTATTGTTTGATTTACTTGAAGCCCAATGACAAATCTAAACTTTGAAAAGGAACAAGGTTTAAAAGTGGTTTTAATTTTCAAACCCAATTTATAGAACTTTCAAACGACATATTAAATTTTATAAATAAATATGAATTCTCGCTATTATAACTTACTAGCTATACCCCTAAAAGCAATTCTTCATGTAAAATTTGAAGATATACGATATACGAATTTTTCTATTTGATTCATGTGGAGGCTTAAAGCTCCCCAGATGAAAGTTCCCCATTATACTCTAAATGCCCGTTATACTCTAAATTTTCAGATGAATGTCAAGATTCTTCAAGTAAAATTTGAAGATTCTAGCTCTAATAGTTTCTCAGATATACGATTTTTTATATTTAACTCATATGGGGGCTTTAAGCACCCCCCCCCCCCCCCCCCCATAAAGTCCGTTTTTTTCCTTCCAAAATGTTCAGATGAATATTTAAGTTCTTCGTGCAAAATTTGAAGAATTTAGTTCCATTAGTTTCCCAGATAAACGAATTTTTGTATTTAATTAATTTGGGAGGTGCAGTGCAGCTCCCCTCATGGGTAGTCCGCCAATTTAATACCCAAAATGTTTAAATGGATGTAAAAGTTATTAGTGCAAAATTTGAAGATTCTAACTGTAATAGTTTCCAAGATAAACGAATTTTTTTTATTTAATTTATATGGGAGGTGCCACGCCCCCTAATGATATTCCGCCTACTTTTTGTCCTAAATAATCATATTGACACTAAAGTTGCTCCGACAAAATTTGAGGACTCTAACTGTTATATGATCTCAAATATACGAATTTAATATTTTCTTAATATGGGCGTGGCTCCTCGCCCACTTAGAATTTCAAAATAAAAAGTAGCCCATTACTTAATCCATACAGGAATACGCTGTGAAAATTTGAAGAAAATCGGTTCAGCCGTTTATAGTCTATAACGTTCATACATACAAACATATAAACATAAAAACATACAAACAAACACATATTCATTATATATATATAGATTAAATATGGTGAAATAATCTGTCATAGATATCTGTCATAGATATCGTGGTTCTGGGTCTCAATGTTCGTTTGTTGATTGACCACAGACATAATACTATATTAGTTGTCATATTTTAGAAAGTATATTTATAGATTTGTATCTCTTGGATTTAATAAATGAATAACTACTTTATATCCCATTATCAATTATAAAGTATTTAAAATACCCTAATATTTGAAAAAACCAACGGGGATTTTTCTCAATTTGTTTTGCAGAAATGTTAACCTAATAATTAAAGTGATTCATTTAGATTACCAGATATAAATTATAATCTTGTTATTTTTATGTAAATAAATAGTCTTTATAAAAGATTGCGTATAAAATCCATCGCACAGTAGTTTAGAAGCGTTTTATTCTGGAAAAATTTGTTGCGCATATTCCAGAGAAGTGTGTCTTTGTATACCAGTAATAAGTACTAGTAAAGTATTGAATATCGAATAATAGCATATTCTATAGTCTAGTCTAGACTATAGTCTAGTCTACAGTCTAGTCTATAGTCTAGTCTATAGTCTAGTATAGTCTAGTCTATAGTCTAGTCTATAGTCTAGTCTATAGTCTAGTCTATAGTCTAGTCTATAGTCTAGTCTATAGTCTAGTCTATAGTCTAGTCTATAGTCTAGTCTATAGTCTAGTCTATAGTCTAGTCTATAGTCTAGTCTATAGTCTAGTCTAGTCTAGTCTATAGTCTAGTCTATAGTCTAGTCTAGTCTATAGTCTAGTCTATAGTCTAGTCTATAGTCTAGTCTATAGTCTAGTCTATAGTCTAGTCTATAGTCTAGTCTATAGTCTAGTCTATAGTCTAGTCTATAGTCTAGTCTATAGTCTAGTCTATAGTCTAGTCTAAGTCTAGTCTATAGTCTAGTCTATAGTCTAGTCTATAGTCTAGTCTATAGTCTAGTCTATAGTATAGTCTATAGTCTAGTCTATAGTCTAGTCTATAGTCTAGTCTATAGTCTAGTCTATAGTCTAGTCTATAGTCTAGTCTATAGTCTAGTCTATAGTCTAGTCTATAGTCTAGTCTATAGTCTAGTCTATAGTCTAGTCTATAGTCTAGTCTATAGTCTAGTCTATAGTCTAGTCTATAGTCTAGTCTATAGTCTAGTCTATAGTCTAGTCTATAGTCTAGTCTAGTCTAGTCTAGTCTAGTTATAGTCTAGTCTATAGTCTAGTCTATAGTCTAGTCTATAGTCTAGTCTATAGTCTAGTCTATAGTCTAGTCTATAGTCTAGTCTATAGTCTAGTCTATAGTCTAGTATATAGTCTAGTCTATAGTCTAGTCTATAGTCTAGTCTATAGTCTAGTCTATAGTCTAGTCTATAGTCTAGTCTATAGTCTAGTCTATAGTCTAGTCTATAGTCTAGTCTATAGTCTAGTCTATAGTCTAGTCTATAGTCTAGTCTATAGTCTAGTATATAGTCTAGTCTATAGTCTAGTCTATAGTCTAGTCTATAGTCTAGTCTATAGTCTAGTCTATAGTCTAGTCTATAGTCTAGTCTATAGTCTAGTCTATAGTCTAGTCTATAGTCTAGTCTATAGTCTAGTCTATAGTCTAGTCTATAGTCTAGTCTATAGTCTAGTCTATAGTCTAGTCTATAGTCTAGTCTATAGTCTAGTCTATAGTCTAGTCTATAGTCTAGTCTATAGTCTAGTCTATAGTCTAGTCTACAGTCTAGTTTATAGTCTAGTCTATAGTCTAGTCTATAGTCCAGTCTATAGTCTAGTCTATAGTCTAGTCTATAGTCTACTCCATAGTCTAGTCTATTGTATAGTCTATACTATAGTCTAGTCTATAATCTAATCTATAGACTAGTCTACAATCTAGTCTATAGTCTAGTCTATAGTCTTACGGAAAATTAGTTTAGTACTTTAAAATTTAAAAAGTACTATTTTTGTTATAATTTAGTGCTAATTCAAAATAAAAATTTTTCATGCCTGGTGTAGGGTATAACACCATCGATTAGGAACGAGCTTTACTTTTTACTTTTTAATTTTCATAATTAACTTACAATTGTAATAAAACAAACAATAGTCTAGTCTATAGTCTAGTCTATAGTCTAGTCTATAGTCTAGTCTATAGTCTAGTCTATAGTCTAGTCTATAGTCTAGTCTATAGTCTAGTCTATAGTCTAGTCTATAGTCTAGTCTATAGTCTAGTCTATAGTCTAGTCTAAAGTCTAGTCTATAGTCTAGTCTATAGTCTAGTCTATTGTCTAGTCTATAGTCTAGTCTATAGTATAGTCCATAAGTCTATATTCTAGTCTATAGTCAAGTCTATACTCTTGTCTATAGTCCAGTCTAAAGTCTAGTCTATAGTCTTGTCTATAGTCTAGTCTATAGTCTAGTCTATAGTCCAGTCTATAGTCTAGTCTATAGTCTAGTCTATAGTCTACTCCATAGTCTAGTCTATTGTATAGTCTATACTATAGTCTAGTCTATAATCTAATCTATAGACTAGTCTACAATCTAGTCTATAGTCTAGTCTATAGTCTTACGGAAAATTAGTTTAGTACTTTAAAATTTAAAAAGTACTATTTTTGTTATAATTTAGTGCTAATTCAAAATAAAAATTTTTCATGCCTGGTGTAGGGTATAACACCATCGATTAGGAACGAGCTTTACTTTTTTACTTTTTAATTTTCATAATTAACTTACAATTGTAAATAAAACAAACAACATTTACATATTTTTATAAAATTCAATAATATAAAAAACTATATATTATTTATTATTCATATTTTTTTAATTATTTACATAAATATTACATCAATAAATCCTCATACTTACAAAATGAAAATCTAATGAATGAAACTCTATTGCCATTGAGTTCAATTTAATCCATATTTAAAGAAGGCAATATAAGGCAAATATTTTAATTGTTTTTGTTTTCCTCAAAATAAGTTAATAAAATACTTAAAACTATAATTCTTGATGATAACGATATTGTGAGGATTATGCTTTAGAAGCCTTTTTTAAAGAAATAATTTTATAAAAATATTGATTTATATATTTTATAAAAAATTAATCCTCTTTCAAATGGAAATCAAAAGACTGTACTCCACTGCCGGTAAAGACACGCACATAAGCCCACTTGATACCATACTTAAAGAAGGCAATATAAGGCAAATAATACATTAATTGTTCGTTAATCCATACACGGAAATTCAGATACCAACGTACAATAGTATATTTATGTAAATAGGTCACTAATAGAAGGCCATAAAATACCACTATACGATCCCACCAATTTAAATCCTTATAATAACGATATTGATTTGGATCGGGTTTTGTGCCGGGACGATAGTCAAAATCATAATATTCATAACCTTTGACATAAGCCAAACGTTTGGTCATATAGAGAAATGAACCCACAGTTAAACTGGTGTTTACTGGCCATAGACCATCTAATAAAGCTTTACACATTTGCTCAAAATCTTTGCTAGTATTCTCCAAAGCCGGTTCATATACTTTACGCATAACAATGTCCAGTCTCAGTTTAGTTTCGGCCCAATTCTCACCGCAAATATTGTACTCATCTTTAATGCCCAATAAATAGCCTAAAACACGCCACATATGTGAGGTGGACTCTAGGAAATCTTCATCATACATTTGTATGCGATGAGCACCCAATGTTAGAAATCCTATAAAACCAAATTGTGTTAAAGCTAAATCTTTTTGTGTTATTTGACCAGCACCCAATTTAGCACAGGCACGACTAGAACGCGAATGGGCCTTACGTACCGCTTCTAAACTAATCCAGAATTTCGAGGTTCTCGGTGTGGGTGAGTAGTAATACCAGGCAGTTGTATGCATTATTGTGCGTACATAACGTCGATATGCGGTAGCTGGCGAAGAGGATTGTCGTGTACATATTAGCACTTTTAATATCGAGGGTATGGCTAAGACAGCTACTAAACCGGCCAGCATACCACTTTGCACAACAAAGCGATATTTCGACAAATAACTTTGGCCTCTGAAAATATAAAGAAATGTATTTAATAGTATTTAATAATCAAGTAAATAGGTACAAATCAATTAATGTCTGATTTGAAGTGAAATGCATCAACAGCAATTATTAAAAAAAAAACAAATTATTACTAAGTATTACCCACAAATTATAAGTGTGTTAAAAGATTTTATAATTTATTTAAATGACTTGTGTTTATATTTATTTAGATATTTATTGTACATTGAAATGTGTATAAATTTTGAATGAAAAATATTACATACGAAAAGCTATTGGAAAGTAAGGTGGGATTGGCATACACTTCTCTATAAATTAAGTTTATTTTAAACAATTTTTTTTTACGAATTTGTAACCTTATAAAAAAAGAAACTTAAATTCGAATTTTAATTGAAAAAGCTTATCGATAGATATGTTTTTGAATTTAACGGTTAAATATAATAAAAGTATTGATAATAAAAGTTTGAGTGCTATAATCGGCTATGCTAAATTTTAAATACTCTTCATCTATAAGCAAGCTTTCTACTAACTGATCGCATATTATAAATTTACATTTTCTAAATGTTGAAAGCTTAAGTAATAAACAAATAATGGACCGGTCCAGGAAAAAGGGTAGCAGTGAGATTTATATACATATAAATATATACAAATAATTTTCGTGTCGAATTTCATCCATACATCATTATTAATATTAAAGCTTATTATCAAAACTAATTGCAGTTGATGTCTCAGGGATCATTTTATACATAATTGTTATAGAAGCGAGTTCAGTCCCAGCAAAATCTTTATTTACCCGGTAGGAAGGCAAGTAATATTGGAGCAAAGTGTAAGTACTTTCTTTTTGGGTGAATACTACTTATTTTTGTTTGACGATAACCAAAAAATAACTGTTTACAAATGTGCTTACCCGACTTTTCCGGATTTAAAACCAGCTTTACAGTTATTTTCTGTGTTTATTAGTCTATTCTATTACCCAATGCTCCATTAATAAGTTGTTTTATCGTGCTATTTGGAATAGTTTTTACACAAAGGTACAAATCAATATTTCTTCAAAAATCTTCTAATATCGACTAGGTTTAAAATTAGATTATTATAATATAAAATTAAATTATTAGACTAGCTACAAATCCTATCCAAAAAAAAAAAAAAATTAAATAATTTTATTATTAAAGACCACTCGTTACCAAGTAATGTGTTAAATAACTACATTACCTACAATACTCATTACCAAAATTCGAAAATATTTTACTGGGGTATTTTAGCGGTACCGAAAGACTATGTTATTTGTCTTACTCTACTTAGTTCTTATATTCAAAATATGTCCATTTGTCATTCTAATTCATTCAATTATAGGTAAAGCCAGGCATGGAAAATTCAGTACCATAAGACATTTTCAGTACTTTTTCTAACGTTTGATAAGTTTATTCTAGTCTATAGTCTAGTCTATAGTCTAGTCTATAGTCTAGTCTATAGTCTAGTCTATAGTCTAGTCTATAGTCTAGTCTATAGTCTAGTCTATAGTCTAGTCTATAGTATAGTCTAGTCTAGTCTATAGTCTAGTCTATAGTCTAGTCTATAGTCTAGTCTATAGTCTAGTCTATAGTCTAGTCTATAGTCTAGTCTATAGTCTAGTCTATAGTCTAGTCTATAGTCTAGTCTATAGTCTAGTCTATAGTCTAGTCTATAGTCTAGTCTATAGTCTAGTCTATAGTCTAGTCTATAGTCTAGTCTATAGTCTAGTCTATAGTCTAGTCTATAGTCTAGTCTATAGTCTAGTCTATAGTCTAGTCTATAGTCTAGTCTATAGTCTAGTCTATAGTCTAGTCTATAGTCTAGTCTATAGTCTAGTCTATAGTCTAGTCTATAGTCTAGTCTATAGTCTAGTCTATAGTCTAGTCTATAGTCTAGTCTATAGTCTAGTCTATAGTCTAGTCTATAGTCTAGTCTATAGTCTAGTCTATAGTCTAGTCTATAGTCTAGTCTATAGTCTAGTCTATAGTCTAGTCTATAGTCTAGTCTATAGTCTAGTCTATAGTCTAGTCTATAGTCTAGTCTAGTCTAGTCTATAGTCTAGTCTATAGTCTAGTCTATAGTCTAGTCTATAGTCTAGTCTATAGTCTAGTCTATAGTCGAGTCTATAGTCTAGTCTATAGTCTAGTCTATAGTCTAGTCTATAGTCTAGTCTATAGTCTAGTCTATAGTCTAGTCTATAGTCTAGTCTATAGTCTAGTCTATAGTCTAGTCTATAGTCTAGTCTATAGTCTAGTCTATAGTCTAGTCTATAGTCTAGTCTATAGTCTAGTCTATAGTCTAGTCTATAGTCTAGTCTATAGTCTAGTCTATAGTCTAGTCTATAGTCTAGTCTATAGTCTAGTCTATAGTCTAGTCTATAGTCTAGTCTATAGTCTAGTCTATAGTCTAGTCTATAGTCTAGTCTATAGTCTAGTCTATAGTCTAGTCTAGTCTAGTCTATAGTCTAGTCTATAGTCTAGTCTATAGTCTAGTCTATAGTCTAGTCTATAGTCTAGTCTATAGTCTAGTCTATAGTTCTAGTCTATAGTTCTAGTCTAGTAGTCTAGTCTATAGTTTAGATAGTCTAGTAGTCTAGTCTATAGTCTAGTCTATAGTCTAGTCTATAGTCTAGTCTATAGTCTAGTCTATAGTTTCGTACTAGTAGTCTAGTCTATAGTCTAGTCTATAGTCTAGTCTATAGTCTAGTCTATAGTCTAGTCTATAGTCTAGTCTATAGTCTAGTCTATAGTCTAGTCTATAGTCTAGTCTATAGTCTAGTCTATAGTCTAGTCTATAGTCTAGTCTATAGTCTAGTCTAGTCTAGTCTATAGTCTAGTCTATAGTCTAGTCTATAGTCTAGTCTATAGTTCTAGTCTATAGTCTAGTATATAGTCTAGTCTATAGTCTAGTCTATAGTCTAGTCTATTAGTCTAGTCTATAGTCTAGTCTTAGTCTAGTCTATAGTCTAGTCTATAGTCTAGTCTATAGTCTAGTCTATGAGTCTAGTCTATAGTCTAGTCTATAGTCTAGTCTATAGTCTAGTCTATAGTCTAGTCTATGGTCTAGTCTATAGTCTAGTCTATAGTCTAGTCTATAGTCTAGTCTATAGTCTAGTCTATGGTCTAGTCTATAGTCTAGTCTATAGTCTAGTCTATAGTCTAGTCTATAGTCTAGTCTATAGTCTAGTCTATAGTCTAGTCTATAGTCTAGTCTATAGTCTAGTCTATAGTCTAGTCTATAGTCTAGTCTATAGTCTAGTCTATAGTCTAGTCTATAGTCTAGTCTATAGTCTAGTCTATAGTCTAGTCTATAGTCTAGTCTATAGTCTAGTCTATAGTCTAGTCTATAGTCTAGTCTATAGTCTAGTCTATAGTCTAGTCTATAGTCTAGTCTATAGTCTAGTCTATAGTCTAGTCTATAGTCTAGTCTATAGTCTAGTCTATAGTCTAGTCTATAGTCTAGTCTATAGTCTAGTCTAGTCTAGTCTATAGTCTAGTCTAGTCTATAGTCTTGTCTATAGTCTAGTCAATATCTGGTCTATAGTCTAGTCTATAGTGTAGTCTATAGTGTAGTCTCTAGTCTAGTCTATAGTGTAGTCTCTAGTCTATAGGCTTGCCTATAGTCAAGTATAAAATTAATTTAGTACTTTAAAACCTAAAAAGTACTATTTTTGTTATAAGTTAGTACATAGTACATATTTAAAAATTTTAATTTTCCATGCCTGTCATATAGATTACGAACCTTTTTGTTGTTGTTGTCTCCTTATTTCACTTCTAAAACACAATAATTACATTTTTCTACCATTTTGCTTACAGACAATTTCTTTAAATAAATGTAATAATGTATCAAGTAAGAAAGTATAGTCGGGCGTGGCCGACCATATGATACCCTACACCAGTTATGAATATTAAATGTGATTTATTTTTCATAATATCGCATTTATCTTCAATATTCCCTTGTTCCGATACATTTAAGCAATTTATGGATGAAAAACTAATTTTCTGAAAGAGGCTTTATATGGGGGCTAGGGGCAAATATGGACCAAGCCCGATAAAATTTTGTGAATATATTTATATTTACATAATATTTTATTGTGCTGAATTTCATCGCGATATTTGTGTTTATAAGTTAATTTGGGACATTCAAGTAATTTTCTGAAGGGGACTTTGTATGGGAGCTAGGGTCAAATGGGGCCCGATCTTTATGAAATTTGGCAGGGTTATCAAGACTTCTATAAAACTTAGTTATGCCGTATTTTATCGATGTATCTATATATTTAACATAATTATGAGCTCAGAAGCCCTTTTCGGGGGGTTCTGTTCTATGGGGGCTAGGTGAAATAATGGACCGATTTTAACCATTTTCAATAGGCTTCGTCCTTGGGTCAAATAAAACGTGCGTGCCAAATTTCATCCAATTATCTTGAAAATTGCGACCTGTAGCTTGCGCACAAGGTTTACATGGACAGCCAGCCAGCCAGACGGACGGACGGACGGACGTACGACTCAGAAAACGATTCTAAGCCGATTGGTATACTTTAAGGTGGGTCTAGGACGAATATTTTTATATGTTACAAACATCAGCACAAATCCAATATACCCTCCCCACTAAAGTGGTGTAGGGTATAATAACAAAACATTACACTCCCACTCAACAATACTCTCTTTCGTGTTTGTCTGCTTACGAGCTGCCCTGGAAACTAAGAAACAAAATCTGCCTTCTAACAATTGTCTTAACAAATTTGGCATAATACACATATTTATTAAATATTCTAACACTTTTTTCACTAATTTCTAAAAATTTTTATATCCCGTTATAATTTAACATTTGTTTAATATTAAACAACAAAAATATTTTATTATTAACTATTAATTAACGTTTCAGCTTAATTTAAACAGTACCATTAACCCTCTACAACGGAACACTTTAGAAATATTAAGAAAACTAATGAAATGGAACAATAACAAAAAGCATCCATCAGTTATAGCAATTGTTGT